GGCTGTGAATTCTATTTTTATCACTATAAAAAACAAACAAAATTAATAATAATATTATTTATCTCAGTTTTTTTTTTCCAGTACCAGAGATCAAACTTAGGACCTTGTGCTTGCCAAGCAGGCGTGGTACCACCACTAAGCTACATCCCCTGTCCTCTCAAGCATTATTGAGAAGATTTCAATTAAGCTATACATGTAAACTACTTAAAATAGTGCCTGGCACATAATAATAGTACCAATTATTGTTTAAGTTTTAACATTTATTTGCATAAAGTTTTTCATGTTATTCTTTCATAATTTTTCACTATTATATTTTTAGTTAAGTCCCTTTTTCATTTCTAAAGTTGTTTGTGAATATTCTTTTCTTCTTGAATATCCCCACGCTCCCACTCCATCGGGTTGTAGGGAGTGAGCCTAGGGCCTTTATGCAGAGCTATATCCCCAGGGCTTTTTATTTTTACTAATTTATTAATTTATTTATATACCTGGGATTGACCTTGGGACCTTGCACTTGCAAGGCAGGTGGGGGAACCACTGAGCTAAATTCCTGGCCAAAAGCCTTTTTATTTTTTATTTTCAGACAGAGTCTCTCTATGTCACTAAGTTACCCAGTCTAGGCTTGAATCTGTGACTCTCGTTCTTCAGCCTTCCAGGTTGCTGGAATTATGGGCATGGACCACCACACCTATCTTCTTGATTAATCGTATATAGTTTGCCTTTTTATTAATCTTTCCAAATAATTGCCTTTAAATTTGTTAATCATCTTTATGCTTAATTGTTTTATTTCATTTTTTCCTGTTTTTTATCTTTTATATTTACATTGTCCCACTTTCTTAGAGTTTTATTTCTTGTTCTTTTATTGCCTCTCTAGTTGAATGATATCACATTTATTTCTCTCCTCCCCCTCCTTCCTTATAATTTAAATTTTTTTCTTTTTATTGAGTTTATTGGTATAATCTAGGTATACAATACAGTTACATTCATTATTGGGATCCTGTACCTTTACATGATAGGTCTTGATTCTCATTTTTTCCCCTTGTCCCTGCCATCCCTTCACCCCCTCTTCCCCTCCCCATTTACAAACACTTTATTTCCATTTTTTCAATTTCTCATATTTTTTTCCTCTCCCTTATTACCTTTCCCCCACCCTTCCCACTTTCCCTACACCTTTAGCCCTTTACTTCCTATTTCACACTATTAAGTATCTCATTAGGATCCTGTGTACTATTAAAGTTTTTCACACCAGAGAAACTATTTGGTATTTCAGTTAAAGAAATCTCTGTATGAACATTAAAAATAGGGAATCCTAAAATAAAACTAAAAAGGAAAGTAAAAGAGAAAAGCAATGATGTAACATTAAAATAATCCTTAATTCTAAAGATGAAAATGGTCCCTGAACACATTTAAATTGCTCCTTTACAAGGTAGGGGGTATCACATTCCCCAAGTTTAAATTATACTACAAAGCCACTGTGATATAAACAGCATGGTACTGGCAAAGAAACAGACCTGAGATTAGTGGAACAGATTAGAAGAAGTTGAAACAACTCCAGACAAACTCAACTACCTTATCTTCAAAAAAGGAGCCAAACACCCTCTCCAGAGGAAAGATAGCCTATTTACGGAATGTGCTTTAAAAACTGGGTTTATATTTATATAAAAAGACCAATAATAGCAATATGTTCTGCATCAATAGCAGCAACAGCTTTTCCAAGTTCTGCAGTCATCTGAACAAAATTATAGACATTCAGCACATTCCATTAAAAAAAAAACAAAAAAACAAAGAAAAGAATAATATCCAGAAAACAGCAAAGTTCTGTTGCCGTTGTGGTACCTGACACCATTTTTTTTTATTAGCATCTTAATCATCATCTGGAAAGAGAGCACTCTAGAGTAACATCATTAAAAATAGCTCTGTTAAAGCATGGTCACTACTATGTGTCATAAAGCAGGTACAAGATATTTTACATTCACAGAGGTATGATACAGTACCGTCCTACATCAATACTACTAGAATCAGTTTTGGTTTGAAATTTGTTTTGTCTGCAAATAAGATTGCTACCCCTGCTTTTTTCTGGGCTCCTGTCACATGGAGAATTGTTTTCCATCCTTTCACTTTCAGTCTATGGGCTTCTTTTTGCACTAGGTGTGTTTCTTGTATACAACATATTGTTGGATTTTGCTTCTAACTCCATTTTGCCAGTGTATTTCTCTTCATTGGTGAGTTGAGACCCTTAATACTGATGGTTATAACTGATATGTACTGACTTATTATTGTCATGTTGTTGGTCTTTTGTTGACTTTTTTTACTTTTTCATCTTCTCCTTTTAGTTTCTTGCCTTGCCTATTTTATTTGCTCTGTTGGGTCTCATGGTGTTGTTGCCTTCATTGTCTTTTTCTAGGATCTTGTTTAGAATTGCTTGTAGTGCTGGTTTGGTATTCATGTAGTTTCTCAGGTGTTCTTTGTCGTGGAAGTATCTTATTTCCCCATCCATTTTGAAAGAGAGCTTTGCAGGATACATCAGTCTAGATTTGAGGTTGTTCTCTTTCAGTACTTGAAATATCTCACTCCAGGCTCTCCTTGACCTAAGGGTTTGTGTTGAAAAGTCTGCTGTGATTCTGATGGGCTTTCCTTTGCATGTAATTTGTTTCTTTTCTTTTACTGCTTGTAGTATTTTGTTCTTCTGTTGGGTTTCTGGGATCTTGATTTTTATATGTCTAGGTGTAGATTTGTTTTTATTGTGGCTAGTTGTGGTCCTATATGCCTCAGTTATCTGAATGTCAAATTCTTCCCCTCTGTTTGGGAAGTTTTCAGTCATTAATTCTGTGAACAGCTTTTTAAAGTCATTTTTATTTTCTCCTGCTACTTCTTGGATTCCTATCAGTCTTACGTTATTCTTTGCATCGTCTAGGAGTTGTTGGATTGATTTCTCATGATCCCCTACTGTTTTTAAGAGATCTCTCTTTTCATGGTCACTGAAATCTTATCTTCTATATCTGAGAGTCTATCTTCGCATTCTTTTATTCTGTTGCATACACTTTCAATGGAGTGTTTAATCTCCTGGATATCTGAATCTGTTTTATGGATTCCATTTCTCTCCTGTGTTGGGCATTGATTGTTTCCATTTCTTTCTTATGCTGGGCTTTCATGGCTTCTATCATAGTCCTGAGCTCATCTATTTTTTTGTCAGTTTCTGCTCTAGAGTCTCGAATCACGACTTTCATTTTGCTCACTATCTCTATGGTTATCTGGGAAATTATTTCTGTTTTGAATTTTTCTAGAGCCTGATTGATCTGTTTTGTTACTTCCTGTGTTATGGGTTCAGGGTGTCATGCTGGTTCACTATCAGACTTTTCATCCTCTTTTGCCCTACTGTTTGCCATTGGTGAACTGGAAGTCTGTCTTTGTGTTTTGCTTAAGTGTTTTCTCATTTTTATTTTTGCTGTCAGGCTGTCCTTGGTTTAATCTCTGGGTTATCACCCAAATCTTCCTGAAATAGTTGCGCCCTAGCTTCTGGGTCTCTAACGACCCACAGACATTCTCATCTTCATAACATCAGAGAAAACAGCTCATCAAATCAACCACAATCCTTTTTCCCAGTGGATACAATCAGCAACACATTATGATCAAGCACAACTTGGAAACTGACCACCTGTAGTGACCACCTGTAGTCACTAGTCTATCACCCTTAAACCATTTGAATTAAATTGAAATCAAGAAGCAGTCCAGAACATGTCTGCAGTGAACAAACTTTTCAATATAATATATTTGCCATTTAATGGCTCAGACAAAGCTAGGATGCAAGACCCCTGATCTCGGTTAGCTGATGGCTGAACCCCATGATGCAGACTGACCTCGGGCTGCAAGGCCCAGATTGAGTTCTCCAACCTTCTGAATGGTTGAACTCCACAACGTTCTATTACAGGTTTCCCACACCCTTTCTTTAAAGATGTTCAAAGTTGGGAACTCAGAAAAATACCCTTTAGGACCACATGTGCCTCTGCAGAGTGGGTCCAAAGACTGGCACAGTCAGGAGGTCTGAGAGTGTGTAGTGTGTGTGTGTGTGTGTGTGTGTGTAAGGGGAGTTATGGGGGTTCGCTACCTTTCTGGTGCTGGAACGATGATGGCTCCAGGCAGGAGATGGCATGGCTCTCCTTCCTTATAATTTTGAATGAAGCAATTGAATTTATGTATTTTAATAAATATATTTTGTGTCTAATCTACAGTAGAGAAAGATGAAAATAAAAACATTACATAGTTACAACTTTTAGCTAGCAATTTACCAGCAAGGAAAGTGGTACACAGTTCTTTTCTGCCTGGATCTTTTTTCAAAGTTGTTTTTCCCATAAGAAAGAAAAAGATAAAGGGATATTGAGTGCCTACCAGACAGGCCAGTTTGAAAATCTAACAATTAGCAAATTTTCAATACTCCATTGATCACAAAATGATTAAACTATATAAAAATGAAACCTACCATCTTATTACAAATATGCTTCACCCAGCACCACATGCATCAAAATGGAAAGAAAAAAATTGTATTAACTCACCTAAGAGAAAAGCCACTACCTACCTATTAAAACCATAACTATCCTTTCCTTTTTCCTTATTCTAAATATGCAGTATTCCACATATTTCAATATGTAGTGGCTGCAAATATTGTGTTTCAAATAGTTTATTATTTCCATTGTAGTTTCCTACCAAACTGATGATTAAAAATGATTTTCAAGGCCAGTGAAAACATAAATTTACTGAGCCTTTTTGTACCATACAGGGTATGCTCTTTGTCAATGTTCCATTCATATTTGAAAAGATACATGTTCTGTATTTGTTAGAAATATATATATGTTATATTTCATATATATTTTAGATTCTTCTTTTGCCTTATTTTTTTCATGTGTATTAAAGTCTTCTACTATAAATATGGATTTGATAATTTTTTCTTGAAATCCTGCCCTTTTTCATTGCATACATCTGAAACTGTGTTCATCTTTTCTTTGTAGTCATGAAGGTGAAAGAGGAGAAGGTTGGTGTAGCAAAGGTGGGCCCCACAAAGTACAGAAGAAGATGCCTGGATCAAGGTAAAGACATTTTGAGAACTTGATGTAAATCCAAGGTGGGCCTGAGAATTCTTGGGTGTTGGTCTTTCTAACAGCACATCTAGCTAGAGACTAGAGCTGGCCTCTTTCCATGACTCGCCACAGACCAGCATTCACCATGTCTTAAAAGTATAATGGCATGGGTCCATGTCTCACAAAGTCAAACAATGAAGTTGAAGTCAAAGGAGTTAGACAGGAAGAATGTTCATTAGAAAGAGAGAAATAGCTCCTAATAATTAGGAGGGGACCTGAAGTGAGTGGTCACTGGGACTCTTTGTCTAGGAGTTTTTATACCAAAAAATGACCAGGGCTCACACCACTCCAAGTCAAACTAAGGTCAACATGTAGGACTAAAACAAGGTCACTTAAACTAAAAATAGGCTGAGGAGTCGAGGCACGTAGCAAGCATGGGTCTACAGGTGCCTCTATCTTACTTAAATGGTTTATTAAAAGAGCAAAGTGAGAAGGAAAAAACATTTTCCAGATAGATAGGAGCAGAAGTTGTCATAGTGGTCATCCATCACCTTGCTTGTTACCTCACTTGTTACATCCCTGGACTAAATTGTTTATCTGGTTCTTATTAATTCTTGACTTCAGTCTCCTGCTTAACTGACCAAGGTGTGGTCATTCGGATTCTGCCTTGGGCCCAGTGCTTCCTTAGCTTCCCGCCATTGTCTACTTAACTTGCCTGTCTATAATAAAAGGACCATAGGATTGGACAGAGAGCAGGAAAAAGGCATTTGGATTTGTGTAGATTAGGGTATGGCTTTCCCAACACAAACTCACTTAACTTTACCAGATCTATAAACCATGATTAATACCAAATATCAACACATTGTAGATTCTGAAAATGGCAGCTTGGAACCAGTGCAAGAAGGCAACAAGGAAGATTTTTGTTTTCTCCAAATAGTGACTCAGAGGCTCTCGAGTCCTTTTCAGATGAAACTGATTTATTTTTTTATGATGGTGCAAAAGCAGAGATATTCAGCAGAAAGAATGGTTGGAATTTTGATCTTTCCTGATCTAACAATACATTGTAAAATATTCTCTTGTGTTGCTGGGCAGCACCAGAGTTACAGCTTCATGTCTGCCAGGTAATCACTGATGCTCTCTAGGTAGAATGTTCAGAAGATTTGGCATATTAAATACTTTTTCAACTTCAGATATTTTCAACTTGCATTGGGTTTATCTACATATAACCCCATCATATATTGGGAGCACTGTTATTCTACAAAGCAGCAGGCACAAGACTTGACAAGAGGCAACCAGATGACTTTCTGCCCCATCACTTGGAGGCAAGTACCTTACTCTCTAGCTAGATGCTTGTTGAGCTGCAGACCATTTGGGGCCACTCTGCATCTGTTGATGAATCAATGGCAATGCAGCAAGGAGTTCATGAGACAGTTCGGCAATGTTTCTGAGCCAAACTGTACAAGATGCTCACAGTGAGAGAAGAGATCTAGCAGAGCCAGGAAGGAGAATGTGTACCTGGGGGAGGACAAGCCCTCCCCCTAGAGTTCACCAGCTAAATAGTTATGCCCTGATGATTATGATAGGAGCAGGAAAGTTAGATCTGAAACAGAAAGTAAAATATTTCCTTGTATTTTTTTTTCTCAGTACCAGGGATTGAACTCAGAACCTTGCACTTGTGATACAGGTGTGGTACTCCTGAGCTAAATCCCTGGCCCTTGTGCACTTTAATATATATATATCCTTGTGATTATAAGTTTCATAATCATGTTCCTAAACATGAGTTCATTCTATCATCTCAAAAACCTTGCCAAGCCAATAAAGACTTTTATGTAAAGAGCTTCAAAGTCATCATTCCCACCCTTACAACAAATACAAAGCTCAACAAACTGAAAAATCAATAACTTTTCTAAGATACATCAAAGAATTAAGGCCATAGGGGCAAAAACACCACGTGTAATCAGAGATACAGGCAAATATAGAGAGTACAGATCAGCTTATTTGAAGCAGAAGCTGCTGGAGCCAGTAGTACCAGCCAGTAGCTGGTAAGAATACTTACAAAGTAACTTCCACAAATTGCTGAAGGCGAATGTGGAGTAGATGAGAATTTAAAACTCTTACAGGCCCATTCTAATGAGAATTTTACTTCTAGTTCTTTTAATAAAGAATAGTGGAAATTCTTCTTATGTTTGACCAGGAAGAGGGGAGAAGTAATCATTTGAAATATTCCCAGAGCATTATTCACAACAAAGATCTACCTAACAAGAAAAAACAAAAACAAAAAATAAAAAAACAAACAACAACAACAACAAAAACTTCACTACAGCTTAATACAACCTGGTGGAAAAGAAGCTCCCAGCCCCAGCTCTCTCTAACCTTCATATTTCAATTAGGTGAGGATAAAACTCTTTTGAAAGTCGTAGGCCATATGTACAGCCTTGCTAAAAGATTGAAACCTAATCATAGGACTGTAGAATGCTCCTCTCCCCCCACTTTGCCACCACTTTAACAGGGATTCTATATAGTAACAGTGGATTACAGCTGAAAGAACTATAAAGCTATGACTCTATTTGAGAAGTTTCTAGGAAATAGGAAAATAACACAAGATATGATAACATGGACTCTAGAGTGAGTTGAAGCCTCTTACACTGTTATGGCAAATTGTAAACACAGCCTAACCCTTAGCCAAAGAATCATAAAAGTTCATGTGAAAGGCCTACCAACCTCAGTTCTACTTATACCAGCAATATCTTTGATTTATATATTTTTTTTGGTATTGAGGCTATAACTTGAATTGTCCATATGATGAATATTAAATCAAGTGGCACTGGAACTTGACCTTATTTTTTAAAAGTGTATCTAGATATAATCCTTACATTTATCACAATAATAAATTTAAAATGGATGTTAAGCCTAAAATGCAAAATCATAAAACTTGTAGAAGTTTGTTTGTTGTGATGGGGTTTTCCTTTGTAGGTCAGGCTGGCCCTGAACTAACTATGTAGCCCAGATTTGGGATTTTGGAATTTTTGAGGGCAGGTTCTGGGGTCTTAATATTATTATTATTATTATTATTATTATTATTATTATTATTATTTCTTATCTCTGCTTCCAGGTAGTAAGCCTTAGCACAAAGGTGGGGGTTGGTCCTGGTGTGTTGCCCAGGTTCAGGTGAATGGAGGAGACCGGTCCTTCAGTCCCAGTTGTACTATCTATATTAGTTGGACTCCAGACCATGTGTGTCATGCTCTGGCAGAGCATTTGTCTTCATTTTGCTCATGTCCAGAAACTTTGCAGGAGACTGAGATTAGGGCAACAGACTAACCTATCAGAGGAAATTTCATAGCAGCCCAACATTCAGGAAGTTGCATGGGTACTATTGGGGGCTTTTAGCTAGCTCTACATTGAAACTAAGAGCAAATAACACAGCAGAATTATTTTTTAAAAGTTTTGAGTTTTGGCAGAAAGAAAATTCCTGGTATAGTTGAGGCCTGCAAAGATGGAGCAGAGGAGAACTTCACTGATGAAAAGTTTAGTATTAAAAAGTAGCTAAGTACTTTGGAACATGACAATAAGAAAAATGGCCTAAGGGGATGTGAAGAACTATCCTTTGAAATCTCAAAAATCACAAAAATGACAAACTTCGCTCTGAGAAAAGAACCCCAGATCCTAGGGGGGGAACTTAGAGAATGGGAATTGATTCTGCAGGATTCAGCTTACTGTGCTTAGCCATCTGGGCACTTGGCTGATTCTGCCTCTCAGCAGTGAGCAAAATGCAAAAGGGTTTAGCTTGGCTACTGCTCAAGCTTGTGGCAAACCCTGGTATGGTTCTGGTTTTACCTGCATGCAAAATATGAGAATTGTGGGGTCAGGGAGACTTCCACCCAGATTTTAGAAGTGTATCAGGTAGTGTATCCCTGAGAGAGTAGGGCACAAAACTGAGAGTAAAGCCAAAAGTGCAGTGGAGACCTCAGGATGTCGGAAAAACCAGGAATGTTGACCATCTGAGGAAATCTGCAAGAAGTGGGAAAAAGCCAGCCCAAGAGAGAAGTTATGAGGTCTGCAACCAATCGTGATGTCATAGGGATGGGGGTGCCCAAGCCTCTTGGAGTTTGTGTCTCACTATTGATTGCCCCAGGTACTGGGCATGTAACTGCAAGATTTAATGTTTTCATTGTTGGTGGTTCTCATTGCTTTCTATCACCCTATTCTTCCCTTTTGAAATGAAAATGTTTACCCTGTGTTTTTGTATGTCAGCAGTGTTTAACATTGTTTTTAACTTTATGGGGCTCACAGCGAAGAGTTTGCCTTAATTTCAGAGGAGACTTTGGACTTGGACTTTTCAGCAATTCTAAAACTGTTATAATTTTGGCAACTGTTAGAGATCAAAGAACTGCATTTTGCATACAAGGATACCCATGAGTCTTTGGAAGGCCAGGGGCAGAATGTTATGGTTTATATTTAGATATACCTCCAAAGCCTCATATGCTCATAGGTGGGGCTTTGGAGAGGTGATTGGATCATGTAGGTGTGTTACTTATCAGTGGATTAGACCATGGATGTGATTATAGTTAAATTTATAGTTAAATGTGATGCTAGTAGGTGAAGCCTAGTTGGAGGAGGTGGACTACTAAAGGCATGGCCTGGAAGGGTGTATTTCCTTCCCTTCTCCCTTGAGATGTCTCTCCCTCCCTCCCTCCCTCCCTCTTTTCTTCCTGCTGCCATGCCCTGAGCTGTTTCTCCTCTACCATGTCCCTCTACCATGCTGCCTTGCCTTGGAGCCAGATGACTATGGACTGAAAACTCTACAAACTGTGAGCAGAAATAAATCTTTTCTTCTTGCAGTTGTGGTGTTAGGTTTTTTGTCTCAGCAATGAGAAAGTAACTAAGACAATTTCCCTTCCAGCAACTACTGTGGTTCAGAAATGGAATTCTGTCAAACGCAAGCCTCTGTACTTCGGCCTGGTCCAGGCACCTCATGTCTTATATTTTGCTTCTGTGGCTCCATCTCTTTGTTGGTGGATATTACAAAGAAATGCTAATGTTTAGTAACTCTGCTTCCCCCCTCTTTGTGCTCTGTCTACAGACTGCCCTTCCATCCATATCGGGCTTCCAGTCCCCAGTTATACTCAAAGAAAAAGTGACCAGAAGGGACATCTCTCAGGCCTGCAAAAAGTCCACTGGGGCCTTCAGCCAGACAAGGCACCACAGGAACCGAGCAGCCCAGGGAGAGGAACAAGCAGCAGGGACAGGAGCATGGATGTTATCAGCAGGACTCGTAAGTTCCTTGAGGAGCATATTCTGAGGAGCCAGTCTGCTGGTGGGTCTAGCTAGGCAGGGATGGCAGGGCAGGGGACTCTCTGGAGAATGTGGATGATGCCCCTCTCCTCTGCCACCACTACTGATCAGCCTCTCTACTCTTTGGAGACTTAGAGTCCAGCCTGAATCCTTTGTCTCTCTCTGATGGCTTTGAGACCTCCCCTCTGGCCCACTCTGTGTGGATTTTAAGGTTTAATTCTCAGAATTATTTCCTCTTTCTAAATTCCTAGGGGCTACATGGTTGTTGCCCTAAGAACCAACAACAAATGTGTATTTGCCATGAGGTGTTGTGCTCAGTAAACGGAATTGCTTATTGCATATCTGTACCTTCTCTCTTTCCTTGAGCTTACAGGAAGGGGACATAAGGTCTAGTCACCCTTCATGGCAGGGGCCCTTCAGAATATTTTCCCCAAGACAACAGAGCTCCCCAGCCCTTGCTCCGCTCCTGGAGAAATTACTTGTACACTAATTAAGTGTCAATAATTTCCTCCATCCTGTGTAAAGAAAATTATCAGTCTTAAGATGAATAAATATGCACAAGGCTTTGGGTTAAATCCCCAGCACTGGAGAAAAAAAAAAAAGAATAAAAATGACTAGAATCCCTAGAGAACAGCTATGATACTTTATTTTTCTAGGCTTTAGTAATATTTCTGAGGGCATAATTCCACTCTCAGTGTACTTTAAATTTGCCAAAAATAGTGCTTAATTGATTTATATTATATATTTCTACTGTCTTGAGCCTGACAAAAATAGTTTATTTTACTATTAACACCTTTAAAATAGTGTCAGGTCAGTGACTACATCTTATCATCCCAATAGGAAACCAGATGAAAACCTCCTAAAGGTCATCAGGGCCACCCCTTTCCCTGCAGAGCCATGTACAACCCCCTCATTGGCATGAAGTCTACCAGGGACTGTGGTGTTTCCAAAATAAATATGTCTCTGTGGGAGATAGAATAATAGGGAATCCTTTTCAGGAGCCTGGTGTAGGAGGCGAGCTCTGATTAAAACATACACATATACATATGCCAACATGCACCTGTATTCATATGTGAAAACACACTCTGTCTCCACCCCCCACACACCCAGAAAAAAGAAAGCAAGCCTGGTGGAAGACCTGCTCCCCATATGAGTTCTGGATGCCTCACACTTGCTGACATGGCTCACCCTATTGCCCCTCTGACGTTCAGGGATAAAGTTGCCCATTGAAATTCAAGTGTGCTAGATTCCTTCTGAACCAAAGAGGAAAGCACATTAATTAGAGCTGATCCTCTCTGCTCCGAGGGCTTGGCAGAGGTGACATGACACATTCCAGAAGTGGTTATATACAGTGGATTTTTTTATTGCTTTGGTGGTTTTTAGTTCCCTTGAAGGAACACTGTTCTAAGAAAACAATCAAAGGAGAGAGAATGTAAGCTCTTTTGAAATATTTGTACTGGGGTACTGTGTTAGTCAGCTTTCTTGTTGCTGAGAGAGTATACCCAACATTGACAACTTGAAGGAGGAGAGGTTTGGTTTGCTCATGGTTTCAGTCCATGATCAATTGAATTGAGGACAGAGACATCGTGGTAGAAGGCGCAGTGGAGCAAAGCTTCTTACCTCATGGTGGTCAGAGAAAGTGCAGAGAAGGACAGGTGAGGGACTAGACATAGACCCCAAATCTCTGCCCATGTGATCTACCCAAACACACCTAGGACTGTGCTTCACCTATCTCCAGGAGTGGATTCCAAAGCCAATCAAGTTGAAACTCCAAACTAACTGCCACAGGAATGTTGTTTTCATGGCCTGCACACATATGTGTGTCACTGACTTGTCCCTGGCATGGCTATGGCCAGGAAAAGCCTAGGAGGACAGGAAATTTCAGGCCATGTCTACCAATCTGGAGTAAAGTAAGGACCTCTTTTAAAGGGGAAACAAATTCTTATTGTCCCCTAAAAATGCACACTTATTTGTAGCCCCAGGGAACCATGTATCCTAGTTTGAGGAAAAAGAAATTTTTTTAACTAATAGAGTTTTTACTCCATAAAAGCATCTTCCATTTATGAATTGTCACCAAAGCAAAGTCTTACCTTTATATTTAATAAGAGAAATCTTTTTAAGATTATCATCAAAATAGAACCACAAAATTTAAAGATTCAAGTAGAACTGACCTACCCCCGAGAATACCCCCCACAACCCAGTTCCAAACATGTTGGTTTCAGGGAGCCACAAAGCCTTCTAACAAAGTCAACAGCTGCAGTGATCTTTCTGTGGTCCATGGGGACTGATTTGGCTCTCTTCATCCTCCATGAGATGGTAGGAGATTCCACCCTCAGCTATTTACTTCTAACAAGTAGCACAGGTGTCAGATGTTGGTGCAGGTATAAACTCCAATCCTTCCATATCATGTAGCCATTGCCCCATTGAAGGGAAAATAAGACAGTGCCAAATAATTGCACTTGCAGTTTCTGGGCAATTACCTGGCTCCCCAACCCACCCACTCCCACATTTTTTGTTTCTAACCAGATGTGTTTTTCCTCTCTGATCTTTTCTACTAATTCATCCGGACAGTCTGAGCAAGTGGTCTAGCTGTCCTGACTATATCGTTCAAGTGGGAACTCCCACTTCAGGGGAGAGGGGTATCCTGCAGAATGTGGGGATCCAAGCATCAGGCAGCTGTACAGATGAAGGACTGAGAGGAGAATAATGGCAAGGACCCAACAAGACAACGTGTGAGCAGAGGCTTTGTATCTGTGAAAGCACTCTGCCAATGACAGTTTATTATAATTCTATTAACTAAATGTATAGTATCAACAATGATAACTAGGAAGTTGAAGCAAGTGGCAGTTAACTTTCTTTTATTCCTTTCAGAGAGACCCACAAGGGCATCTTTAATACACCACTGTGCCTTGTTACTCAACTGCTTTGAAACCCATCTAATTTGGTACTTAACACATTTTGATTCCAAAGTTTTGTCACAAGTACTCATCATTTGTTTGATTCTGGACACACAAGCTAGAACTTCGCAGTTTTAATTGCCTTGTGATTTCCTACCCTTTCCAACCAAAACAACACATATGGTATTCATCACTTTTGATATTTGTTGCATCTTCCAGAACTAATTCATGATGAGTACCCAAGTGGATCGTTGTATGCCCTAGGGTTCCTACCCACCAGGATGGTTTTGAAGTACACAAGCCATCTATCTGACAGGTTAGCTGTGGTCCAGTCTTCCTGGATCACATGACACCTGTGAGTGATAAGTGAAGATTAGCTACAGAGGGTGGCTGGAAAAATTAAAGAAAGGGATATTTATACATTTCTTTTTTCTGGGTGTATTGAGGTATAACTGATAGGTAAAAATTGTGGATATTTAAGGTGCAAAATGTAATGACTTGATGTAAGTCTAAATTGTGAAATTATTGTGATAATCAAGTTAATTAATACACCCATCACCTCACACAGATATCCCGTGTATGTGTGTGTGTGTGTGTGTGTGTGTGTGTGTGTGTGTGGTGAGAACACATTAGATCTCTCAGCAAATTTCACCTGCACAGTGCAGTGTTACCACTCTAGTCATCAGGCTGACATTTTGCTGCGGTTTTGACTTGTAGTTCAGTGATGGTCAGTAATGTTGAGCAGATTTTCGTATACCCATTGGCTGTTTGTATGACTTTTGGGGGGAAAAAAAGTCTATTAAGGTTCTTTGCCCATTTTTTATTTTAAGACAGTGTCTCACTATGTAGTTGAGATTGACCTGGAACTCACTATGTAGTCCAGGCTGGTCTCGAACTCACAGTGATCCTCCTGCCTCAGCCTCCTGAGTGCTGGGATTATAGGCATGTGCCACCACACCCAGATCTTTGCCCATTTTAAAATCAGTTTATTTGTGGTTTTACTATTAAGTTGTATGAATCCCTTACATATTTTGGATATTAACCACATATTATATATATGGTTTACAATTATTTTCTCTTATCCTGTAGGAAATATTTTGTTGATTGTTACCTTTTCTGGGTAAAATATTTTTAATTTGATGCAGTCCTTCTTATTTATTTTTCCTTTGGTGCTTGTGCTTTTCATGTAATATTCAAAAAAAATTGCTAGAACTAATGTCAAGGAACTTTTTTCCTGGTTACTTTTTAGTTTTATGGCTTTGAGTCTTACAATTAAGTCTTTAACCCATGTTGAATTAATTTTTGTGAGTGGTATAAACAAGATGTCCAACTTCATTTTTTCTTTTATGAAAAAATAAGACAAAATTTCATAACAAAATAATAAGGACAACAATAGTTAAAACACTGTTTATTGTTATCTTCAAAGTACTCAGAGTACAAGACATGGATGAGAAGATTCTCTTTTATAAAGAATAAACAAACAGATATTAGCACAAATTTTCCATTTCAATGAACTAAGAGAAACTAGTAGTGTAAATGAAATAGATTAGAATATCTTTGGGGAGCCACTTGAATCTCTCTTCACTTCTTACCTATCTTGCATTTTGCCCCTTAAATTCGCATATGTATTTTTCTCATATATGAATAACTGATTTTTAAGCTTATGTGTCTAACTTAACATTATGTTCTCAAGTTACATCCATTTACTTACAAATTCCTCGAGCTTATCTTTCTTTATGGCAGAGTAGTGTGCCATTGTATATAAATACCACATTTTCTTTATCCATTCATCTATTTATGGATATTAATACTGTTTCCAAGATCTGGTTATTAAAAATTGTGCTGCAATAGATAAGAGTATACATATATCCCCAGAATATGATAATTTTGACTTTTCTGGGGAAGGTGCTTAGAAGGGGAATAGCTGGGTGAGATGGAATTTCTGTTTTTAGTTTTTTTGAGGAATCTCCATATTGACTTCCATAGCAGTTGTACCAGTTTACATTCCCAACAATGTAGAAGAGTTGTATTTTCTCCACATCCTCGCCAGCATTTATTATTAGAATTCTTTAAGATAGGCATT